ATGGCACCGGCGAACCCTGGTTGACCTTGCGGGGAGGTCCACCTACCAGGGTTTTGATCCACGGCCATGTGGCAGGTAGATGGAGTCGTGGCCTGGAGGCCACGGTTACCCCAGACTATAACGCGAGTGGAGCCCAGTCCAACTGAGTAACTGCAATCCTCGAAATCCAACTGTAGCAGGTAGATGTCATGTTGCTCCTGAGACGGTTCAACGGTTTCAACCTTCGGCCTCCCAACGTCGGCATTCGCACGGGTGTGGGGGGGACCAGTACAACTGCCGTGGTCGGTCGACGGCTCGACGCACGAGCCGCTCGACGACTCGAGGCGATTATCGAGGGTCTCTTTAGTTCGTTACAATGTATGGCCGGCAGCTCAGCGGTCGCGACAGCCGACAGCGAAGCGCTGGCCCAGTGGAGATGCTCCAATTTTCCATATGGATTTGATTAGATGGCACCCTGTAGAACACAGCATGAGGAGGAGTCGGGAGAACATGCATTGCCTGCAGTAAGAGCCTTGAAAGAAAACAAGGGAAGCAGGATGAAGCAGGACATCATGTGGTGGTGTGAATTCCATTGGAACGAAGCGCACGTTGATCCCATGAACAGCTGCCACGAGTCATCTGGCAACCACCATAGTTGGAGGGTTCATTGACCCACAGGCTCAAGTGAACATGATCTCCACTCGCATGCAAAGAGCATCATCCACCCTGGCTGGCTGAGACAGCTACTCCTGTTCCTTACAATTGAGTTATATATAGATTATATAGAGGCGATGTCTAACAGATTATTGGAGAGGATTCACCTTTCAAACATGTTCTAGCTACTCGCGGGTGACAATGACAAAGCCTTCTGAGATCCCTTTGGTTGCTGACACCTCTTGCATCACGCCCTGGTCTCCTCTGAGGTGTGGATAGGTCCCCAGCTCAGTCACAGACACCGAACGGAAGTTACGGGGGGTTCGGGCTGACCAGCCAGGCTGGTCTGTGGAAACTGCGGCTTTTGGTTCTTACTCTCCTGTTGCCAAGACAGGTTTTCCGGTTTGATCATGTTGGTCAGTTGAACTGGTCACACTGTGTCAGACCCACACATCTCTGTTGCGGAAGCTGTGCTGACTGTTTGACTCATGATGCTTGCAAGGTGTGCTGTCGGTGCTTGTGCCGTGTCACCGTGTTACATGTTCCAATCGCCCTGAGAATCAATTGGATTCTGGTTGTGGTGTTCTCCTGAGAATCGGATCCTGAGGTTTCCTGTTGATGATTGTGATCTACGCCTTTAGCATCGTTTGCCGCAACGTCATGGGCAACCTCACCAACCAGGACTTCGATGGTCCGGTGACTCAGAGCGGATTAAAGCCAGCCACCGATGCCCAATAAACGGACGCCATGCGCGCCCATGCGCGCCCATGCGCAGGAACCGTGGAACGGACGGCGTTTGGGAGCGGACATCAACGCGCTTTTTTCAGCTTGCCCTTTCTTTCGTGTGTGCAAAAGCCGCGGACGTGTCTGAAGAGCAAAGATCGCAATCCTCAAGACTTGCCGAAAAAAGCTTTGCGAACTGATGGTTTATATATATATATATATACATACACATACAGTATATATACCAATGTTTTCAAGTCAGGGTTCGACAAGAAGTCTTTCTGGTTTTGAGCCTGGGAAACCTCAGGGAGGTCTAAACAACAAAGGCGGTAATCAGACTAGATTCAGTCGCCTTTCCCTCGAACTCCCGTATCTCATTAAAGGAGAGTGTACCAGGAATTTACATAGGATAGCAGCGATAGCAGGCTCAAAGACTGAGCCTTTAGCAGAACCGCCTAGAACCACGCACCTGCTCTCCTAGAAGGCTCAACAGCCGGTCTGATCGGAGGGACTGACCAAGACGCGGTTTCCTTTGGAACATCATCCCAGAATTGGTTTAAGGGAACGTCATGGGAACATCTACAGGAAACCCATCATTGTGGGGATGAAAGCCATGGCTTTCCGAATGTTTGCTCTTCATCTCCCAATTCTGGGAGATGTTCTCAGCTGGGGGCCGACGGAGGTCGGTCGCCTTCTGTCGCCTTCTGGCGCCTGTCCTGCCACGTGGCGCCAGATACCATCGACAATGAGATGTACTTTGGAACCCTGCCACGAACGATGCTTACGCGCGAAGCCCGGAACGGCGGACGACCGAGCGGTCGGCCAATGCGGGCAGATGCGGGCGGTGAACGCCACCTTTGGGGAAACGAAGGTGATGATGAGGCCATTCCTCATATGTATAAGTCTTGGTGCGATTGTAGCCATCCACATGCCTCTGACCCGGCTTTGGAATGTGGAGGTGACTCATATGGACATGTGTATGAGGAGATTGCACATCCACACGTTCACAGCGGCGAACTCGCCGCCCTTCGTCTTCGTACGCACGGTTCACGAAGATTGAGGCTCTTCAACATCTGCCTCATTGACAACTGGCACGCCTCCCCAGTCACGAGCGGAGAAGGTTTCTTTTCTTTGGCCCGCGCCGCGCAGCCGATGCGGTTGGATCGGTTGGATCGCAGCCGACCGGCGTATGATGGATCGGTTGGATCGGTTGGGGGGGGGTCATGACGAGTCATGACGGGTCTTGGATCACATGTTCTCACATGGTTTGGACCAGGTCAGATGGCTGGGGGGGTCAGAACCCCGTAGGCCTGGTGGACCGCGGATTCGCGGATTCGCGGATTCCTCGATGTGTCGGGAGGTCGTACGGTGTGGGTCGGCCTCCCCGCGTTGCGTCAGCCCTGCCAGACCGAAAGCCCTTTGATCATCCTCGAGAGGTTCGTGTCCCATCACTTGCAGGAGTACAACCCAGACACTCCATGTATATTGTATATTTACATACATTGGGGTGGTTTCAGGGGTCAATGCAGGCATATTATGTTTGTGTGATACACGGTTTTGTCCCATGAGAGCCAAGGCATTTGAATGTCGTTGCTGTTAGGTTCATCAGGGCCGATGAAGTTGTGGCACGCCATAGGCGTGCAGCTCCTGTCCATCGCCGTAAGGGAGCAGGCACGTTTGTCTAAGTTCGAGGACAATTCCATCCAGGTGACCTGCAATTGCACTGGAAGCTGGGATCGCAGTTGGGGTGCTGCCTCTGAACGTCCCCATCCTCTTGTGTTTGCATTTGTGTTCTTTGCAGGGGTAGCTACAGGCACTTGCATTGTGCTGTACCTGAAACGCAATTCAAACAGGAATCCGGATGGTGACCTTGTCGGAGGTGGGGCTAGGAGACGTGGAGGTGGCATCTTATCGTGAACTACGTCCTGGTCGAAAAGTGTATCTCTGGTATGCGGATGACACAGTATGGCATGAGAACATGGTCGCCTTTTTGGTAGGAGGTGATGAAGTTGTGCTATGGACACCTGATGATGATCTTTACATAGAGAGCATTGGTTGCAAAGGTATCAGTGGTCCTTCACGCTTGCGAGGAGTCGGTGTTAGGGGTGGTGTGCCTCACTCAGTTCGAGGACAAGTCTACAGGTTTCGGACCCCACCCACTGATGATCAGATAAAAAAGATTGTCAGAGAGGCACATGCGTTGGTTGAGCGTGAGAGGGGCACAGCGGTTACTCCGACTGAAATCGTGGACTCAATGAACAGGGTTGTCGACATAGACGCTTTTTTTGGGGGATCCTTTGTCAGAAGACGGATGACTGGGAAAGGAGTGCTGGCTGGTGACTCGGCGGGAGGCACTCCGGACTCGCCCAAACATGCCCATCGTGTTCGCCCTGCTACAGCCGATACTGTCTGGGTTGCTTCAGAGCCTCTAGGTGGACTGGCCCTTGGCCAGGAAGTGTCGCTGAATTTGGAAGATGATGTTCAAGTTGGTGACCGCACTGCAATGGCTCTCAGGCGTGGCACCTGGGTCAAGGTTGAGCTTATCCCTGTTTCTGATGCAGCTGGATATGCAGAAGCCAGACGTCAGCTCTTTGAGGCTACGGCTCCCAAGAATCCTGAGGAGTCTTTAACCGAGAAGCCGTTGGTTGTGAAGAAGGAGGCGGATGCCAAACCAGAGGCCATGAAGTCAGATGGCGATGATCCTCCAGAGCATGGTGATGTGAGGACTCTCTATGTTGACACAGATGAACATGGGGAGCGGTTCAAGAGATGGCGGGATGTTTGTAGCGAGAGCTTCACGCCCACCTTTGACAGCAAGCCACTTGAGGGGCCCTGCACGGCTTTGCACTTGATCAAGCACACTGAGAGACAAGGTGGTGATCCTCGGCTTTGGTTGCAATTGTGGCTGAGATCGAAGCACATTGAGGCCACTGACCGCACGTATCACGAGATGAAAGTGTCGGTTGATGTCCTCTTCTATGCTGGCACATTTGATCAGGTGAATATTCCTGGGCTGATCAGCTTGGAGGTTGTGTGTCGTCGATTGCAAGCCATAGTTGATGCATACACAAATGCAAGCAAGCCAAGCTGGGAGAATGCAAAGCTGTTTACAGGGCAAGGTGCGCCGGAGGACATCATTGCGCCAGTCTTCAGGACCTATGCCGCCAAGAAGAATAAAGAGGAGCTGGAGCTACTTCAGGCTCGTCAGCGAGTCCGTGAGTTGCGAGGCTCGCCAGCTGTTGCCTTGGAGGACCCTACAGGTGACGCAATCATTGCACTGCCCAAGAGGACGCCAAAGGCCAAGGCCGGAAAAGGCAAAGGCCGGGCGGATGATGGGCAGGGAGATGCTTGAGAGAAATGAGTTGCTCACTTCTGAGGCTCCGGAGGTGGGCACTGGCAACAGTTCTAGGAGCCTGAGAGGAGGACAACCGGGGTTGCCTGCTGCTATGTCAAAAAGTGGTCGACAGCTTTTTCCTCTTCCTCATGTTGCATGTCCACCTAAGAAGGTGGGAGTGTCGCGTACAGTCGCCAGAAGGCGGAATCGAATTCGTCATTTTGCTGAGCACTGCAACGAAAGTGTGGATGCGCTTAACTGGCTTTCGGGGCACCTTCAACCTGGGGTCAGTTGCAGTGGAATGCAGTCTATGGCATTAGCACGTATGGATGGCTTGATTCGCAGTCAAGAGCCCAATGGTGCTGTGCCTCAGCCGGAGGAAGCCTTGCAAGCGCTTCTCCGTGGCTCCAGCCCTTACGATGGTGCTGGAGTCAATGAGTCACTCGCCTCCTATCAACCAGAGCTTGTTTCATTACCTGCTGATATTTCTGGATGCCCTTTTCTGGAAGATGTTTTGGCAGAAAACGACCGTCTGTATTTGAAGGAGAGATCAGAGCAGATGCTGAGAGGCAGTGAAGATGCAGCAACTTGTGAGGTCAAGCCTTACTGGGATCCAATTCTGCGCTACAACAAAAAAGAATACAATGCCCTGGTCAAGAAATTAACAGACATAGGTTACTTCAATTTCACGACCGTGCCGGAGTGCTTCGTTGGGATTTTCTTCGTATGGAAGAGTTCAAGGACGAAGCTGAGGATGATAACAGACGCCAGGCTGGCAAATGCCAAGTTCAGAGATGCCCCGCCGGTCTCTCTCATGACTGCGGAAGGGCTTGGGAGAATAGAGATTGAATTTGGTGAAGAAGTCAGCAGTCAGCAACAATTAGTCGAGCAGCTTGCGATCCATGTAGGCCTCTCTGACGTTGAGAATTGCTTTCACAGGTTGCGAGTTCCTCTATGGCTTTCACGCTTCTTTTGCTGGGAGGCAGTTCCGGCCAAGGTTGTTGGTTTGGCCGGGCACCAGCTTGAGGGGAAGACGTTGTCCCCGCTTGATGCGGTGTTTCCTTGTGCAGGCAGTTTGTGTCAGGGTTTTTCTTGGGCACTGTTTTTTGCACAGCGCGCCAACGAGCAGATGTGTTTGCAGGTACCACCTCTGTTGGGGGCTCCTCTATGCCATGACCGAGGTTCCCCGATAGTTCTGAGAATTGGTAGCAAAGATCCGGAATGCATGCATTACTATGTGTATGTTGACAACCTTGGTGTCGTAGACGTGAACAAGGAAAGGGTCAAAGCTGCTGTCACGGGACTTGAGACGGCCTTTGATGGTTGTGGGCTCATTCTTCATGGAAGTGAGGTGACCAGTGGACATGTGCAGGCGCTGGGGTGTGGTTTGGATGGAACCCTGCTTCGCACCACCATAGGAAGAGAGCGCCTGTGGAAAGTCTATCAGGCCTTGAAAGGCTTATTGGCGCGCAAATGCTGCAGTGGCAAAGCCCTTGAGAAAGTTATAGGTCATTGCACTTTTTGTGGGCTGATGAATCGCATGTCACTGTCTTGTTTCCATGCAGTGTACAAGTTCATACAACGGCACTATCACAGCGCTGGTCAAATCTGGACAAGTGTTAGGAAGGAGTTGGCCACTTTTCGTGGGATTCTGTTTCTGCTGGTTCAGGAGTGGGATCGTCAGTGGAATCCCCTGGTCAGCTCTTCAGATGCTTCACTAACTGGGTTTGGAGTTTGTCACGCATGGTGGGAGGCAGCACATGTGGCACAAGTTGGTCGTGTTTTGGAGCGATCTCGATTTCGCAGGTTCGCTTCGCATTCAGCCAGGGAAAGCGCCCTGACATCTGCTGGTCTGGTGAAGACCGAACGAGGCTGGCAATCCGGGTGCGAGGATTCTTTGACTAGACTCAGAGAAGCTGGCTGGGAGCTGGACGACTTGTTCCCAGAGGTTCCAGCGGCAGGGTTGAGAAGAGAACTGTGGACTCCTAAGCTGTGGGGTCGCTGGTTTCACAAAGAAGGAATTCTGATCCTTGAAGCTCGAACTCTGTTGAAAAGTTTGAAAAGGATAGCCTTCACTCGTTGGGGTCACTCGCTGAGGCAACTTTTACTTTGCGATAACATGTCTGTAGTTCTTGCAGTTGAAAGATTTAGAGCCAAGAATTTTAAGCTGCTAGTGATAATTCGGGAAATAGCTAGTATCTGTATAGCTAGGAATATTCATTTGGCAGTTCGGTGGATTCCCTCTGAATTGAATGCTTCGGATGAACCATCACGCATTTTTGAAACTGCAGGATCCGATTTGTTAATTGATTGTCTTGGTGATGTTTGGCCCGAAGGTTTTTTGCACAACAAAGCACACCAGCAGCAGCGGCAGCAGCCTGACTATGGCCAGTCGCAATCGAGAACTTCGGCTACCGCGCCAGGAGTCAGGCTCCCTGACCCTAGAGCCGAAGTCCCGACCGAAGAAGAGGCAGAGAGAGTTGATCCTGGAGCCAGAAGGTCGTCTGCAGGAGTTGAAGGTGGTTCCAAAGAAAGCACGTACCATGAGTCTGACGGACAAGTTCCAGAAGATGCTGGAAGAGAAAAAGATGCCATCCCTTCGACTCCCTCAGACGGACAAGGAGCTCAAGGAAATAGAGAAGATGTTCTTGGTCCCCAATGCAGAGAAGTTGAAAGCAGGAGACCTAGGCTACAGCTCCGACAGCAACAGCACTTCGTCAGAGCTGAGGGGAGACGTAAAAGGAAGGAGGCTTCGTGGGCCCGCAAACAGGCCAAAAGGAGCTCTCAAAAAGCTGGTAGACCAGATGTCGGCCGACCCGAGCAAGCAGACTCTTCTCGAGCGGGCTGCTGTGACGGATCGGGTGAGGCAGAACTACACCAAGCGTCTGGACGAGTTTCGCAGTTTTTTAGAGGAGGCGCGCCTTCCACATGGGAGAGCAGCGGAAATGGATGCAGCTTTGGTCATTTATTTCAACAAGAAGTATCTGGCTGGAGAAGGGGCCTACGTGGGCGATTACACCATGGCAGCCCTGATGGATGCGGACCCGTCTTTTGGAAGGATGGGCAACCAGCATCTGCCTCGGGCCTGGAGAAGTTTGAAAGGATGGCGGCGACTGTGTCCAGCCAGGTCTCGCCTGGCTTTTCCCCTTCCGGTCTGGTGTGCCATCAGCTGGAGGATGTGTCAACGTGGCCATGTTCAGAAAGCCATATTCAATCTGATTCAGGTGTGCACGTACCATCGTCCGGGAGCTCTTCTACAACTCAGAAAGATGGGCTTGGTCAGACCGGCCAGTGGCATCACGCGTCACTGGGCAGTCGTTACAAGCCTCACAGAGACCAGCGATGTTTCAAAGACAGGAACAAAGGACGACTCAATAGTTCTGGACTCGAAGTGGATCACGTTCCTGTCGCCGATGTTGGAGCAGCTCAAGAAAGGCAAGCCCATGGACTATGTGTGGAGCTTCCACTACGGAGAGTACCTATCTGTCTTTCGCGATTGCTGCAGAGACCTCAAAGTGGATCTTGTTCCTTATCAAGCCAGACATTCGGGACTAAGCATAGATCGGTCCAACAACTCAAGGACGCAGGAGGAGGTCAGAAAGAGAGGAGGATGGGTGTCTCGTCAGTCAGTGGCGAGGTACGAGAAGGCAGGTCGCCTAGCGGCCACATGGGGGAAGCTGGACAGTGCAACTCAACTGACCTGCAAGGCCGCAGAAGCGAACATAGAGGCCATCATCCTCGGCCAGCGCTACCCAGACATCGCGCTGCCGTGAGAAGTGAGCGGGGGCAGTACCTGGCAGACTTTTTCTCAGGAGTTGGAGGTGTAGCCAAAGCGGCAAGGGCCTTAGGTTTCAATGCTCGTGAGTGGGAGCTTCTACATGGAGAGAACAATGATTTGACTAGACCATGTGTTGTCTACAAAATCAAACAAGATGTGAAGCACTCAAAGATCATTGCTGCGATGTTGGCACCACCTTGCTCGTCGTTTTCACCTGCACGAGATCGCACATGTGTGGTACGCACCAAACAACATCCTTATGGAGTTCCCCAACTTACACCTGGGGATGCTGAAAAAGTTCGTCTTGGCAACAGTTGTTTCAAGTCGGCCTATGAAATTATTTGTTGTCTCAACAAGTACGGCATTCCGTGGATCTTGGAGAACCCTCACTCGTCCAAATGTTGGTACCTACCAGAAATGCAGAAGTTGATGAGTCTTCCCACAGTACATGTGCGTGTGACTGATTTTTGTTGTTATGGGACGCGCTGGCGCAAGAGGACCAGACTCCTGATTGGTAACATTGATCCTCAAGATTCACTAGGACTTCAGAAAACCTGTTCTGGCACACGGGGTTTCTGTGGTCGCTCCAATCGAAAGCACTTTCAGCTTACCGGGTCTGGTCCTGGAGGAGTTCCATGGACACGAATTGCCCAGCCATATCCACGACAACTTTGTCATGTCTTGGCTCACACACTGGTTGTGGACAAGCTCGTCGTCCCAGCAGATTGAACCAGCAGCAGCAACAGCAACACGCGCCGGTTTGTTTTGGTTTCTTGGTTCTCCCCCCCTTGTTCTTTCCCCCCCTTGTGAACACCTGTGCTTTGGGGGACCTGCAGTAGTGGCTTGGGAGGTTGGATGATGCGAAGCATCAAATCATTTGTCATGGCACCT